TCTGTTCTTCTTTTCCTTTAATTCACCAATCTGTCTGGTTGCATTCAACTTTGAAACCCGTAGACCGGCTCTGATCCGGAATACTTTTCCTATCTCGAGAAGCCGTTGATGATTCTAGAATTAAGATATAAGTAGTTTAAATCTAGTTAGAATCGAAGCCAGCCTAAATACTGAAATGCTTTGATTTGACTGGGTCTAGACTGGGTCTGATCTTGTTTTTTACTACTTAACTGGTCCTGATTCTGTCTGGATTGGCCTAACTCAGGGAAAAACACAAAATTAAGGTAAGCTTTTGTCTGGACACCTAGCGCATTTTATAGAATCGGATCTGAGGAATCCGAATCTGAAATCCGAATCTGAAATCCGAATCTGAAATCAAAATCTCTCAAATGAATTTCCAGGTAAAACTGTGTAAACGTGTAAAAACAATCAAAGCTGACAAGCAGTGCGTTGCTGGCGTAGTAGATAACGCGCTAGGCTAAGGATCGGGGTTCAACCCAGAAGGTCAAGAATCAAAATCAGGATCTCTTGCTTCTTGCCTGCCATTGACTGCCTCAGAAACTGGTCCCTAAATCCCTGATTGAGCCTCTTCTTTTTCCTAATTTGTGTTGTTTCATTCAACTTTACGACTTAGCCTCAATATAGTAATAAATCCTTCAACTCAATGCCAGGCTTGTACAACAACGGCGCGTGGACATGGCTAGACGGCTCACTGCTCGACTATGTGCGATTCTACGGCTCAACTCCACGAACCGGGGCCACATCGGTGAATTTCTTGCGGAAATTTGGGGCTTGAATTTCTGGAAACCGTAAACTATTCAGATAATCAAAAACGATAATCACTATTCAGTTAACCGTCGACTCTTCGTGTGGCGATTTCACGGATTGGCGCGGTCGTGACCCCACCGAGCCTCTCCAATACTACATTTGTAAACGTTACAGTAACTTGTGAATGGAATAAATGGAGAAATTATGTAATTTTTATGTATATTCATTTTTAATTTCAATTTTATGTATATTCATTAAGTGAATCAGCACATAGAAATGGTCTTTTGGTGTACACGATTTTAGGCGATCTTGGGCACGTGAGCCAGTGACAAAAGTCAGCTTGACTCAGTGCTTTTCCCTTTTCTAGTGTCAACTGAAGATATTTTTAAGCGGATTACAAGCTTGTACAGGGAATACTCCTATTAATACACACTTCTCTTGGATTCTCCTTTAAGGATTCTTGGATTCTTGGACATCCTTTAAGGACCATCAGTTCATTCAACAAGCGTTACCTCAAGGATATAGTCCGCAGATCAAAAATATACCTCCAGGGACAATCAACCTTATTCAGCCTATGGATATATATTTCTTCCGTACAGTTAAACAGATCACACTTGTTTCACTTCACTTGTTTGCTAAATCGGGGATAATTTAACAACTCCCTTTAACAGTAGTTATCTAGGTTTTAGGTCCAATGAGTCATTTCTGCCTTAATCAAAGATCATTCAAACATCAAATCCTCCAGTAAATTCTTTATCAAGTAATCAAACAAGTAGATTAGGAGAAATAAAGTTTCACGAAAAGGTAAAAATGCTTTGGGGTTGCCTGTTTGATTGGCTTGAAGAAACGGTGGTGATCGTTCGAATGGGGACGAGAATCGTTGAAGTTGGCGTCGGATGGATAGAGTTGTGATGAGACACAAACAACCATCATACGATTTCCCCGCAGATCGATCACTTCAAAGTAGACCTGCTGATGGCCGGCCTGATTCACCGTCTCTCCACGGTAGTTAGAATAGGTGATATTGCTGCGGAGAAAATCGTAGATGCCCATCTGGAGACCGCTCAGCACTGGAACACAGGCGTATGTACATTTAGCTTTTTCTATTCAGTTTTAGTAAGTATCTAAATATCCAGTACACCTAACTGACGTTTTTTATTAACTTTTGGCTAAACCAGTTCTACAGGGTAGCTGAAAAGTCCTATCCACATCCTTCAAACAAGTTTCTCAGCTTATGTGACTAGTTTCCCCATAGAAAAACTTTGGTAAATCTAGAAACTACATTCGATTTAGCAGTTAATGCTTTCACAAGAACTGAATTGGCTTAGCCATTCGTCGAAGCGAGACCAATGGGCCAAAACGAGCGCGACATTGAACAGTTTCGCTGAAAGATATGGACAGGACTTTTCAGCCACCCAGCTTTTCAGCTTTTCAGCCACTCAAAGTCAGCAGGAACGTTGTTGTCACTAAACTAAAGACATGATTTGCTTTGTTCAGCGTTTTGATCCTGGTTTTGTTTATTTTCCAGTAAAATCAGTCCGGAAAGACCACAGGCCGTATTGTTTTGCAAAGGTGCAAATTCTGATTTCAATTACCCACCTTCCAACTCGTTCTCAGTCAGTTGAGGCATAACGTTGCTCTGGAAGTTGTTCAGCCGAATGCGAACATTTTGTGGGGTAGCTGATCCGATACTTTGCAACCTCAGCTCTCATCGTTGGGGACATTGTGTTGAGGCTTGTCCGCAAGCCTCGAACCACCTGTTCCCATTGCGCGCTGTGTCTCAGCAAAGTGTGAAAGAACCCTGACTCAGCCAGTTTCTCAGCACCGCTCCCTAAATGTTTCAGAATTTTTTAAAAAGAATCATTTTACCGTATAGTTAAACTGGGACGGCATCGGAACGGGCAACCATGAATGGGCATCAGTAAAGGGCTTTCGCTTGTTTCTTTTCAGGGTCCCGTTTCTCGCGTTGCAAACGATCGATGTCCTCCCTTGGTGGCAACGACCACATTTGGATAGATCTAAATAATTTTTTGTAATAATAACTTTAGCATCTTTATTTTAAATCTATTTAGGTATTTAAATATTAGGTTGGTAAAAAAGAAATGCGCGTTTTCGTTAAAAGTTTATTTTATTATAAAAACAAGATAACAATACATTAACCCGAAGGTATTCGCCATCTGCATCAATGACTTCTCGCCAACGTTCACGCAGAGAATGGATGCCATTCTGGAAGAACTCGACCGGCTGCGACTCGAAGAAGTTGGACACTCAAATTTGGACCCTCGTCGCCCGGTTCTTGAACTTTCTCGGCCAAGGAGTGGTGCATTGATCGGAACAGATGGTAGTCGGAAGGCGCCAAGTCTGGGCTGTATGACGGATGAGGCAGGACTTCGAAGTCCATTTCCTTCAGACTTTTCTGCTGGGTGATTTTTGCGACATGCGGCTGAGCGTTGTCGTGGAGGAATTTTTATCGACGCCGTATCCACACCTTGACGTCGCAGCGCCTGGTCCACGCGGTCCAATTGGCATCCGCATTGAGGTTCGCCGTAACTGTTTCGACCAGAATCCAGAACCTCAAAGTACACCAGGCCTTTACTGTTCCACCAAACACAAAGCATCACCTTTTTCCGTGGATGTCCGGTTTTGGAGTCGGTTTTGGCGCTTCACCGGGGTCCAAACCACTCGCCGCATTCTTGATGTGTTGTCGTATTGGATCCACTTCTCATCCGACGTAACAATGGAGTCGAAAAATCCACTGTTCTTGACGCGGTGAGTGAGAATTCCGGCGATTGCGATGCATGACACCTTGTTTGCGTCGGATAGCTTCTGCGGTACCCATTTTCCGCATCTATTCGTCTTGCCCATGCCATGCAGATGGTTCTCAATGGTGACATGAGTGCAGCCGAACTGTTCTGCCAGGTCGCGAGTGGTTTGGCGTGGATCCGACTCAATGCCTTCCTTCAATGCGTCGTTGTCGATGGATTTGAGGTCGACTCCCGTGTTTTTGGTCTTCCAAGCTTTCGTCGCCGTCTCGGAGGCGCTGGAACCATCATTTACACTGACTTCTCGGATAGAGCATCTTCGTCAAACACTTGAGTAGAGCGCGATGAGCTTCCAGCAGCCGATTTGCCTTGCTTAAGAATTCACACCACAAGCAGGCCCGCAAGCGAAATTTTGGTCCGACATTTTTCTAAACCTCTCTTTCTTGTAAAAAAACAAAGTAAACATAGACAAATTATATATTAAACGATGCGCAAGAACACGCTCTTTCCAATAGAGATAAACTCTTTTAAAAAAATCTTTTACTGTGAATAAAATACAAATCAACAAACACGACGCTCATTTCTTTTTACCAACCTAATATAGTTTATTTAAAACCTACGGTAGATTGAGCCTTGTGGTGATTGGCTGTGAAGTTTGGACAATTACTGGGTTTTGAGCGCCGGAGTGGTGTAGATGCCGAAGCACACTCGATGCCACAATAGTCGTCGGCAAGAATAGCATCGCATTGCCTGAAGGTAATAGGATATTTCAAAGTGCTAAAAATAAAGTGCTATCGATGGTTAATTACAGAGCAGAAAGCTCCTTGACAATCATAGCTGCCTTCGCCGGATTTTTTCGCTCGATGTAACCGGCCACCGGGACGTGCGAGTAGGGTTGATGTTTTATCACCTAAAGCTTTAGACTTTGAAAACAGTTGGTGTTAATTATTTATGTGTAAGGTGCTCAGCTCGAAAAACTAAAAATCCACAGAACTGGTTGCAACACAAATTTGGGGAGCCACATAAAAAGAGTATCTTGATTGCAACACGAATCTCGGCGACGCAGCGCAGTTGGTGAGAATTTGGTTGCAACACAGAAATCCTTTGGAAAGTAGAAGGCAAGAAAAGCGACCATTGAAATTTTCTCTTTGACGTAGAAGAACTTGCAAGTCGACTAGCAAAACCAGTTCGACTAGACACTCTGGAACTTCAGGGCCTCACCTGTTTATTCTTTGGGTCAAACCAATACTGCGACGTTCCCCCTCTCGATCACGCTGATCTGCCTGGTGATGACGTTGATCTGTTGTCCCAGAGAAATCGCCTCGGCATCGGTCATTGCCACTTCGCCAAAAGTGCTGCATCCAGTCTTCCCTCTTTTGACGGCTCTTGCCGCCTCGAGGCTGCTCAAACGAGCTCTTAGTTAGAACGGCACTTCCCAACTTCCCACCAGCATATCCACCCATTCCATCAGCCACCGGAAGAACGAGGGCATCGAAAATATTTCCGGCATTCGATTTTGATCACATTGTCACAAGCGGCGATGATCCCTTGTGGCTTGTCGGTGATCAGAGTGGCCGTCCCGTCGTAGCTGCTCCGGCGGCAATTCCGGCCGGAATGGCCGCGAGACCTAAACTTTTAAACTAACAAATCATTTTTGACTTTTAAAATAGTGCTTTTAGTGCTTTGTTAGTAAAATAGACATGTAAGTTACATTTTAAATACCTCCAGTGGTGATCCCGGCCACGACACCAGATCCGATGACAACCGTGGAGCGACTCGCCGCGTTCATCGCCTGATTTCCACCCCTCCGTATCGCCGGCTATATAATGCACAACACCTAAATGAACTTATCAGTTTTAAATTCAAAACACTATACTCTGCTCACCTTTAGCATGTCCGATAACCGGCAGCCCGTTGACCACATTGTTGACGGTGTCGAGGCATCGTTTTGCGTCTCGAGCGCTCCATCGGCGTCCCCTGTAGCCAGCTGAACGACCGAGGTGACCTGTAAGGAAAACCTTCATCACGCCTAAGATCGAGGTTCCAATACGGTTCCAATACGTTTCCAATAGGGTTCCAATACGGTTCCAATACGGTTCCAATACGATTCCAATACGGTTCCAATACGGTTCCTTTTAAGGTTCCAATACGGTAAAGCTAGCAATTTGCTTAGAAATCGGTCAGCCTGAAGGCATCTTTCCTAAAGTCGTTTGCCTAAACTTGGAATCGTACTTTTCGGGTATAAAGTGATGGGTCACTTAACAAGGTCACATCAACTAAGAGTTTTTACACATTAGATAGATAGATAGTTCTTTTAAACTGTGCTCTAGTGCGCCGCTGGTTTACGAAAGTGTGGAGAGCCCACTCCTGCTTGTTATCTTTACCATTATAAGTGGTTCTCCATTTTATACAGAAAAATTGCAGCCCCCACCTTTATGCGCAACGACTTTTCACTGCGATGCCAGGTTTGACTGCGACTGCGGAACGACTGACAACTACCTGCGAGACGACCGGGCACTCTTTCACAAAATTCTCTTGTGTCTGTCGGGCACCCTCGAAGTCGAGTGATGAGTTGAAAGCCAGTTTAAGCTGGGAAACTCCGGGAATCCAGTCCAAACCTGGCATCTTTTGCTAGTTGACTTGAATATGGGCTCGACCAGCTCAATAAATGAATGCTGGTTGCTTTACTTTCCAAAATTTTTGTGTTCCAACCAAATTTTTCTGGCAATCAATCAATGTGGCTCTTTGATTGCCCTCTTCCCTTCCCAACTGATTCCATAGATGCTTTTGTTGCGGAATTTTAGTCACTTTATTTCAAAAATCGCAAAATGCAGCATTTTTCGCGTAACGTGAGTTGTTCTTAACAACAAAGTCTCAACTAAACATTTTATTCAGATTATGAGCTCGTCTATTCTTGAAGCCTCCACAAATGCCAAGGAGACTGTGCCCAAGGGACTGCACCCAAGGTAGGCCAGTTGCTTCTAATTAGTCTCAATGAATGAAATATCAAGGATTAATAGCCGATCCGATTTAAATATTTGCAAAGAATGTGACTTATGACTAAAAACACAAACACTAGCCTTAATTATACAGGGTGTTCCACAATTACTGATACCTGATAACTAGCTTGAAAAAGCTTTTTAGTAGAAAACTTGTGATGAAACTTTTATTTTTAACAAATCAGATAGTAAAGTAATGGAAAAACACAATTATTGGATATGTCCTCCTTTCGCGTTGATACAGAGCTGAAGGCGCTTCGGGAAGTCGTCAACCGTGGCACGCAAGTAGGGGAGATCCATCACCGAGGTCGGATGAAGAGAATGCGAAACTGATTTGTGTGGATTAGAAATGCCGTAAATTCGATCGTTTTGCTTGTTCAACACTTGCTGGACCGTAAAAACTTTCTCATCCGTGAAAAGAATCCTTCGGTGAGCTTTTCCAGGAAACCGAGCAAGAAATTGAGCACAACGCTGTTCTCTCTTAAGTTTTGTAGCATCGGTAATTCCGTGACACTTGTTTTGCTTGAAAACTTTCATTCCTAAGCGTTTTCGAACGATTCGATGCATCGAAGTCACAGGAACTTTCGTTTCACGAGCCATTTGACGAACAGATCTCTCTCCGGGTTGCGCCTTATTTTCTCGCGAACGTTCTTGATAACAGTCTTAACAGCCGAAGTTACAAGTCTTCCACGTCCCTTTCGATCCTGATTTGTTCCAAGAGACTTAAAACGTTTGCATGTTCGCAAAACAAGTTGTTTCAAAACAAATACGGTTCCAATACGGCTCTTTTTTGACCTAATACGGTTCCAATACGGTTCCAATACGGTTCTTTTTTGATCTAAAATGGTTCCAGGACGGTTCTTTTTTGATCTGAAATGGTTCCAATACGGTTCCAATACGGTTCTTTTTTGACCAAATGCGGTTCCAATACGGTTCCAGTAGGGTTCCAACACAGTTCCAATACGGTTCTTTTTGATCTAAAATCGTTCCAATACGGTTCCAATACGGTTCTTTTTTGATCTAAAATGAAACCAATACGGTTCCAATACGGAACCTCCCAGTCGTTCTTGGATCGACCGTGCCGGAATACCTTTCTTGTGAAAAGAAATGATCAAGTCGCGAAAGCTGGAGGGCTTGGCCATTTTTAAAAAAGGACAGTTTTTAAATATTATTAAATGAAAACAAGTTTAAAACAAGAAAAACTTTAAAAACAGTCAATAAATCGCTCGCGTTGGACAATTTAAATGTTTTTATCAATGAGAGATCGGGGTATCAGTAATTGTGGAACACCCTGTAAGATTCAAAACCAACAATCATAGAGTGACCAAAGTGAACAAAATTGTGAGTCATTTGGATGTGAAGTTTGAACTTTGTTGTAGTGGAAAGTTGAAAGAAAAGAACCCCCTACGTTTTACCCTGTAGTTAAAGAAACAAGTAGTAGCTAGGAAAATCTAGGAACTTAGATTTCTATATTTAGAAAAAGATTCTGAATATAGAGATTCCAGATTAGCACAACTCCAATCGCGGAGATCGAGCAGAGCTCTCCAGAGCAAAGCCCTCCAGAGCAAAGCGACTCAACGGAAAGCGCGATCTTCAGCTTCGAGGGCGATGACTCGGCGATGATGGCTGATTCGTATCGAGATGATGAGGGAGAAGAGGAAATGGATGGGCCATTCAAATCAAAAGAAGAAAAATCGGAACGCCTCGAACATTTTCATCATCAACAACCCTCATCCAAAACCTTTCAAGAGAGTTTTCCAAACTGCCACCTCAACAAAGCTTATCACGATAAAGATGAATAAATTTTCTAAAGTTTAAAGTGTATATTTAAAATTCAATTTACATAAACACTGGGTCTACAAGGCAAAAAAGGTTTGTAGGGTAAACGCCTTCTCTAAACTAGAGAACCAGACTTGTACCCAGTTAGCCATCGCTGATCGCCCTGAGGAATCGAGAATCGATTTAGGAATTAGTTATAGAAGAGAAAACTTAAAAAATCGATTAAGCTGAACAAAATGCCGTAAAATTAGCTACTCATATTTGTCGCAATATTTGTCATAGAAGTTTTTAAAATCTCGCTTAAAAGGCTTTTCTCCGGCGGCAATATAAGCTGCTGGTATAATGAATTATTGATTGCTTCTAACTATTGTTTGCTTTTAATTCTTGATTGCTTTTAATTATTGATGGCTTTTAATTATTGTTTGCTTTTAATTCTTGATTGCTTTTAATTATTGATCTAACTTTTTCTAGATTTGAGTCTAGTCAAAGCTTGCAAGCTAAGTGAGAGAGCAACAAAACGTTCGTTTTTTGGACTAAAGCTGACACTCTGCACCTTGCTCTGAGGTGAAAGAGTGTTGCGATGAAATTGATGAAGTGTGACGATAAAGTGAAAAATGGGAAAAGAAAAAAAAGAAAACAATAACAAAACAGACAATAATTCTCTTAATTCATTTAATTTCATCCCTCTTTTTGGATAACCCTGTAATAATCAAGAATGCGAGAATTGAAGTTCAAAGGATTTATGAGAAGTTCAAAGGAAAGAAAAAAGGAAAAGGAAAAAGGGAAAGGAAGAAGGGAAAGGGAAAGGGAAAGGGAAAGAGAAAAGGGAAAAGGAAAAGGAAAAGGTTATGAGAAGATCTTATCCTTTGATTATGGGTATATAAGGATTACTGGGGAAATGATGGACATCATCGCTCAATCAGCTTCTTCGACAACTGTTCTCCAGTAATTCCAGGTTTGTCTTGAAAATATCGAGGAATAACTAGCGACTTTAATGCGGTTAAGGATTCACTTTTGATTACTGTACTTTCTATAGTCTTATACTAAGCAAAGGTTAGCTTAAAATGCAAATTTTCCTATAGAAATCTCATCTTACAATAACCAGTGAACTTTCTAATTCACTTTCTAACTCTAAACTTTTGTCTATAGTCGTTTGATTTCATTATTCAAAATAAAAGAAAAGATTCGAATTCTAGAAGCTTGAAAACCTTTTAGCTGTCAGAAAATGAAATTCTTCATCGTCTTCGTCGCTCTCATCGCCTCCGCCTCGGGTTGCTTCAACTTGTTCGGCGGTGGTGGATGTGGATGCCCGTGAGTCTCAAAAAAACAGATTACAGTCTCGAAAATGATAAACAGCAGATGAAAATAGATAGTATTTACAGTAAAATTCAATCTAGTAAAGCTATTTTCTCCAAAATCTATCCATCTTCCAGCCCACCATGCCCACCACCTTGCCCACCACCTTGCCCACCACCTTGCCCACCACCATGTCCACCACCGTGCCCACCCCCGTGTCCACCACCTTGCCCACCACCGGCCCCAAGCTGTAAGTTGTTCGTTGTACAGACTACAGCAGATAGTAAAGTGCAGTAGTCTAGCTAGGACTTGAAAAGATTGGTACTCACCGTAGACACAAATGGCTATAACCAGGATTCTAGCCAGTATCAAATTATTAGGTTGGCAAGTTACAAACGATCGTTTTAGGCAACAAATTGTTTATTTCATAGAGCGTAATAAAAGAACATTAATCCAAAAGATATTCTCCATTATTCTCCATTATTATCGATGACTTCTTGCCATCTTTGGCCTCAATTCCTTGATACCATTCTCAAAAAACTGAGCGTCCTTCTGAACAAAGTAGAAAGTAGTATCAAGTTCGTTTCAATCAAGTTCGTTTCAAAATCAAGTTCATTTTTGACTTGTGCATGTTCATCGAAAAGTTTTCCATAGAGAAATTGCTTGAGGAATAGAGAAATGCTTAACGATCGAAACAAATGGTAATCTGTGGGTGCTAGGTCGAGTGAATAAGCCGCATTTGGTAGAAGTTTCCAGCCAAGCACGAATTTACTGAATCAAAGCTAAAAACTTCTCTATAATTGTTCAAAATATATATAAATTATTTAAATTTTAACATTTTTTTCTCTACTACCGTATTTTCTCTAATAGTAGTGCACCATGAGCGTCGCCTAAATTCCACGAAATCTCGAGAACCGCTTATGAGAACCTATTGATGTGGGGTCGGAAAATGTAGCCGACGATGAGATCTAGTGGAGGATTTGAGTGTTGAGCTTCTGGGAAAAATTGGAAGCCGTAAAATAGGCTTCAACTCGACTCGACGGGGTGCACTACTATTAGAGAAAATATCTCTTTTCCAGGTTCCCCAGCCCCAGCTCCTTCATGCGGTGGTGGATGTGGTGGAAAATAAAAATCGCTAAACTATTTATCTCAATTTGTACTTTTAATATAATTAGTCCAAAGAATAAATTAATTTTATGAATTTTGTGAAGAAATTTCTATTAGAAACATCGCAACAATTGCAAAAAAAGACAGATTGCAAAAAAATGCGTAAACCCTTCCGGAATACTCATTTTCAAGAAACCAAGAATGTTTAAAGATAAAAAAGTAAGGGAAGGCATTTATTCAAGTTGTTTTTCTTAAAAATCTACAAAAAAAGCTGTCTGCTTATAAAATAAAGTTAAACAGCCTTGTGTCGAAATTTACTTTATTTCCAAAAAGTACCTGAATAAAAATGTTACCGCTGTCGCCAAACGAACGGCCCGATTGGTGTTGGCCGTCGAACCACTTCTGTAGGACGAAAAGAACTAAAACAGAAAAATAAAATTCAATCATTATAACATTATAAGATTTACCTCTAAATAGGGCAAATACGACATTTGGTAACGGACGTGATAACGGTGTAGAAAAGCAGATGAAATTGGCGGTGGGAGGCGGTGATAACCCTAAAAGAATACTTTTTTTAAAGCTCAAAAAGCTACCTCAAAAATATTGCTGTTTCCTCGCCGAAATGCTTGCGAATACAACGACAAAAGTTGCAAAAACGAGATCACAACTGCGGCACCCAAGAATAAGCACACTAAAATGTATAATTTTTGATGCAAAATAATTCGAAATATACCTGCAAAGAGCATCCATATTTTCTGAATACCGAAGAGCCAAAACACGATTCGTAACGGGAATCCAAAGCTGGTCAAAGCAAAGGGTCCGACAAAAGTCCGCGGAACGACACCAGGAAAGTCATTATGGTCACGCTAAAATGTTTACATAAAAACAATAAAGCAAGTAAATTACGTTTGATATGTTGTAATTCTCGTAGATCAGATCGTGGGTGGCCTGTCTGTTGAACGACCTCTTCTACCCAAACTATTCGATTAACTACAAGCAATCAATGTAAGTACCTTTGTCCCGGGAGCTAGAAGCAAATGAATCATCATTACGATGAAGACGACCCATTCGCTGCCATGAATGTGATCCATTAGGATCTGAAAAAGAAACAACCTTATACTCCACTCTGACACTTCAACCAAATACTCCACTCTGACAAAGTAACGTTCAAAACCAGTTTCGAAAAAAAACTAAAACAGAAAAATAAAATTCAATCATTATAAGATTTACCTCCAAATAGTGCAAAAACGACATTTGGTAACGGACGTGATAACGGCGTAGAAAAGCAAATGAAATTGGGGGTGGGAGGCGGTGAGGCGGGAGGCGGTGAGGAGGCCTAAAAGAATACTTTTTTTTAAAGCTCAAAAAGCTACCTCAAAAATATTGCTGTTTCTCCTCGCCGAAATGCTTACGAATACAACGACAAAAGTTGCAAAAACGTTGCAAAACGAGATCACAACCACGGCACTCAAGAATAAGCACACTAAAATGTATAATTTTGATGCAAAACAACTTTTTAGTATAATTAGTCCAAAGAATAAATGAATTTTATGAATTTTGTGAAGAAATTTCTATTAGAAACATCGCAACAATTGCAAAAAAATGACAGATTGCAAAAAAAATGAGTAAACCCTTCCGAAATACTGATTTTCAAGGCAAAAACATCAAGTCAAAAAACCCAGAAACAAGAAACCACCAATTTTTAAAGATAAAAAGTAAGGGAAAGCGTTTATTCAAGTTGCTTTTCTTAAAAAATCTACAAAAAAAGCTGTCTGCTTATAAAATAAAGTTAAAAATTAGCCTTGTGTCGAAATTTACTTTAGTTCCAAAAAGTACCTGAATAAAAATGTGGCCGCTGTCGCCAAACGAACGGGCCTGAGTTTCAACAATTAACGTTACGTATTTAACACCATTTTCTATTTTTAAAATGCCTTAGCTCAAGTTTCAGTGAACAAGTATTGAATTGTATCAATAACAATTTTTTTTCGCTCTTCATAAACCATACTCCATATTCGTGGCTTCGATTTAAAATGATGTTGAACCATTCGACTTCTCCTTCCGACCAAAGCCAACGTCCCCAAAGCAGTGAATCGAGCGGTACCGAAATTGCTAAAACCAATTTCACCGTGAATCAGCAAATGACCAACCCAAAACTTTTAATGCAGTTGTGGCTCCGCAAAGAGCGCTCCATTTCGCCCAAAGAGTGGCAGCCGTCGTGTGAGAATGGAAGGTAGAAAATATTGGAGCGAAAAGCAACACCAGTTCGCATCTAAAGTTAAAAATTAGCCTTGTGTCGAAATTTACTTTAGTTCCAAAAAGTACCTGAATAAAACTGTTAAGCAGCTTTTTAGAAAACGCTAGAAAACGGAAATGTTAGTGATTTTTAATAGAGAAAGCATCTTTACACTATTGTGGAAGTGTGGCCGTTAACTCTTTGGTCTTTCGCTTGAACTTCTTGTCTTGCAAATACGGAAAGTTATGAAACGATCATTTTTTTGTCCAGAAAACGGAAATGTTAATGATTTTTAATAGAGAACGCATTTTTACACTATTTGTGTGGCCATTAGCTGGAAGTGTGGCCATTAGCTGAAGTGTGGCCATTAGCTGGAAGTGTGGCCATTAGTTGGAAGTGTGGCCATTAGCTGGAAGTGTGGCCATTAGCTGAAAGTGTGGCCATTAGCTGGAAGTGTGGCCATTAGCTGGAAGTGTGGGCCATTAGCTGGAAGTGTGGCTATTAGCTGGAAGTGTGGCCATTAGCTGGAAGTGTGGCCATTAGCTGGAAGTGTGGCCATTAGCTGGAAGTGTGGCCATTAGCTGGAAGTGTGGCCATTAGCTGGAAGTGTGGCTATTAGCTGAAGTGTGGCCATTAGCTGGAAGTGTGGCCATTAGCTGGAAGTGTGGCCATTAGCTGGAAGTGTGGCCATTAGCTGGAAGTGTGGCCATTAGCTGGAAGTGTGGCCATTAGCTTGAAGTGTGGCCATTAGCTGGAAGTGTGGCCATTAGCTGGAAGTGTGGCCATTAGCTGGAAGTGTGGCCACTAGCTGGAAGTGTGGCCATTAGCTGGAAGTGTGGCCATTAGCTGGAAGTGTGGCCATTAGCTGGAAGTGTGGCTATTAGCTGGAAGTGTGGCCATTAGCTGGAAGTGTGGCCATTAGCTGGAAGTGTGGTCATTAGCTGAAGTGTGGCCATTAGCTGGAAGTGTGGCCATTAGCTGGAAGTGTGGCCATTAACTCTTTGATCTTTCGCTTGAACTTCTTGTCTTGCAAATTTGAAAAGTCTAGAATCTTATCAAGATCTAGGATCTGACCAGTTTACGACTTGCACTGGTCAGTTCATGAATCCAGTTTCTGAACCTGGAAAAGCAGTCTGATCTTCCAGATTACCGGAAACAAGCTGTTCTAAACTTTATCCACTAAAATGATCTCGCATCTCGCATCTCGCAAATCCAATAATAAATATCCTCGGGAATCAGTGTGTCTATCTCCGTTTAGTAAATGAGAATCGGGGAGGAATCGAGCTCATTTGAAGAGAGGAAGCGGCTCATTTGAAGGGGAAAGAGCTAAAGGAAAGAAGGAAAAGACGAAGAAATTGACCTTGACATCACAAGAGAAAGAACAAAAAAGAGAGAAAATTGGAAGAAAGAAAGAAACAGAGAAAGAAACTCGAGATCGGATTCCCGTTAACGATCTCTTCCACTCCTCAACAATCAGATCTCATACAGATTTCTGAGTGCTCCATTTCAACGCATTTGCCGAACTTATTCAGTAATCAAAAACCATTCAAAAGCTCATCAGCTTTTGAATCGTTTTTGCTCAAATTCTTATCCTTTATATTAGAATTTTGTAAGATATTTTGATCTAAAAACCTATGCCTTTCATTTTTCGACGTTCTATTGCCAGCTTTTTGTATTTTCGAATTGTATTTTCATATTTTTATATGTCCCTCAACCACTCATCTCTTCATCGAATGTGCAGAACTGGGAGAATTATTGCAAAGCGCTTTCTTTTTCCCGTCAAAATCCTGACCTGATTTGCTTCTGATGCTCTACTGCACGTCAGACCCACAAAAATCCCTAGGTTTTGATGTGCTTGGCTTTTGGCCTGGCTTTGGCCTGGCTTTGGCCTGGCTTTGGCCTGGCTTTGGCCTGGCTTTGGCCTGGCTTTGGCCTGGCTTTGGCCTGGCTTTGGCCTGGCTTTGGCCTGGCTTTGGCCTGGCTTTGGCCTGGATTTTGGCTTAGCTTTGGCCTGGATTTTGGCTTAGCTTTGGCCTGATTTTGGCTTAGCTTTGGCCTGGTCGAGCTTCTCTGGCTATTGGCTGGGTCCTTCCTGCTACTACTGCTCGAAACAATACGCAAATGGTGTCAAGAAAGAGTCCAGATGTGATTCTAAATAACCACATGAAAACCAAGCATAAATAAAGTAAAAACGTATTTGTGAAAAATAAAAGCAAGAGGTTCGGGATCTGAACCCACTACGATGAAATTCTCAATCTCTGTATGCAACCACACTATCCACTACATCACGACTGTGGCTGAACGGCTTCGCATAAACTCGATCTGAAAGGGATCGCATAAACTCGACCCGAGAGTATATATCAAAAACTCTCTGATGTCAGAAATCTTGCGTTTGCGAGCTATTCAGCAGATTTCGATTACAGATTCGATTCCCTTTCAATTTTCTATTGATGGGGTAGGATTTCGTTCCGAAATCCCAAAGTGACCTAGTACTTTTCCCTAAGTTAGACTTGGCATATGTGAACCACATATGCAGCATAGGTACTGTCTAAACTCTTTGTCAAAATGCATGACCTTGGCTTGACTGGCTTTTGGACGAGGTACAGCTTTGAGAGACGGTCAAAGATTCGGCGACGATCCAGGCGTTGACTATCCTGAAAAGGAAAACGTGAACCCTGCTTCTCGATAAGGTTACTGCAATCCCAGTATTCACGTTACCTTCTTTGTCTATTTATTTGTATAATGCCACTAATTACAGCAGCAATTTACCTGTTGAAGCCATTCCT